TTAAACAAAAAAAAAAAAAAAAAAAAAAAAAAAAAAAAAAAAAAAAAAAAAATTTAAAATGAAATTCAAGATAAATATAAACCTTGAGCAGTAGGTATATGACGTTCTGGATAAAGATCTGTTAAGAATAAACTATTAATTAATGTTGCTTTACCAAGACCATTTTCACCTAGTGATAAAAACAATATCGATGAATATGAATTATAGAATGATTTAACATACCAACAACCATAAGAGTAAATTCGAAACCACGCTTAGCTATTTTTCGATGAACTTGATTTGGTAAATTAGCAAAACCAACGAAACTTGATGTTGTATCTGAATTTGAATATTGATTACCCTATTTAAATATATTTCATAATATTTTTCTTTTTAAATATAGTCTTTATTGAATATTCTCTCATTAGTCCTTATTGTAAAGATAACTGACAGATACTGAAGAAATCGATTTGATGACTGTCACTCTCTCGCGCATATGAGTTAGAAGGGAATCCTAGATTCGCTGCTAATTGAATACTATCGACTTAATTAATTAAACTTACATTAGAATCTTTTTGCTGCGATCGTGTACCAGCCGTTGTAGTCATTTTATATTGTTAGAATTCTTTAAAATGGCACTGGCACTATCAATCAATTGATCGATTATTGTTTATTTATATATTCTCATATAATCCAATCAGTATCTAATGAATCATAATTAAACGAAAAAAACTTATTAAATAAATAAAAATAAAAAAAATAAAAATTTCTTATATTTTATTTTAATTTTTTTGATTGAGATATTTATGCTTTTATTTCATTGGTTTATTTTTAACCAATGAAAAATTCAGTTCAAGTGTAAATGTCAACAAAATATATCGCAATGGCATCAGTAGATCAACTGACTGGATTTACTAGTTACAAATTAATGATAAAAGTGTTTACTTTGTTTTGTTGTTAGATGTATGGTTTTGTCAAGATAATTATATTTCTCTCTTGGAGATAACAAATACAGGTAGCTATATTAGGTAAGAAAAACTAGTTAAAGATTCCATCTAAGAAGGAAAAAGTATTGTGCATTTTTTTTTCTTGATAAAAGATTATGACACATTCAAGGCGATGCGACCTACGGGTGTGTCATGTTAAAAAAAAAGATTAAATACATTCATTCTATTGGAATGTAATGCGATATGTTCAAAGATTTTATTCGTAAGAGAAATGTTAATAAATGTTGCGTTGCACGTAACTTTTCGAATTTCGGAGTATATTTGCACGAAGATTCTAGTTAATAACTCTTACTTCTCGAAGTTAATTATGCGACCTTAATGCAGCATTTATTGACGTTTTTCTTATGAACAAACCTTTGAGCATTTCTATATTATTAAAAACCATATTCCATTTGATTTACATAGAAATAAGATTATTATTATTTTTCCAGCTAAATCATGCAACAACAGCGTCGACGTCCACCTGTTCCAGCATCACCTATAGCTTTGAATAATAATTCTAGTCGACCAATACGTCAAGCAAATCGAAAGTAAATCTAATTAAGATTACAAGCGTTTTGATAGATTATAAAGATAATTTTCTTTTTCTTAAGTATGCCAATGACAGTGAGTCAATGTTCTGGTTGTTCTCAACCAATGTATAATCCACTTTTATCAAATGTTCTTGATCGTTTATGGCATCCTGATTGTGTTCGATGTGTTGTATGTCGATGCATACTTAATGAACAATGTTATTCACGTGAAGGAAAACTTTATTGTAAAGATGATTTTATTAAGTAAGATAAACAAAAATTTCGTTGATGACAGAGAAAGAAGAAGTTTTTCATTTAGAAAATATATTCATCGTTGTTTTTTATGTCAAAATTTAATTCAATCTCATGAATTAATTCGTCGGGTTCGAACAGGTCGAATTTATCATGCTGATTGTTTTATTTGTATGAAATGTAAACGTATATTACAAGATGATGATATAACGTCATTAATGCCATCGGATGGTTTACCATTGAATGAAATGGATTATTTATGTCAAACATGTTCAAAATCAATTAAATCTTCTACTGGAACAACGTCATCATCGAATGCAGATGAAGGTTTATTTGATTCTAAACAAAAAAAGAAAATCTTATTTTCTAAAATTTTTCTTTTTCTAGAAGAAACAACAGATAGTGAAATTTCAAATACAACAAATGGAAAAGTACAACCTATTGATAGACAAGTATCAACAACAATCAATATGAATGTACCGCCTACTAATTCTGTTCAATCACCAGTATTAAACACACCTATTATTTCATCTATTGAACAATTATCTCTTCAATCGACAACTACATTAGTTATAGATAACCAAATAAGTCAATCACAATCTATGCAAATTGATGAAGTTTCCACATGTAAAACATTAACATCACCTGTTAAAACACATTCATCATCATCAAATTCATCTGCTACAGTTCCATCCGAAACTCCTGATGAAACAGTAACACCTCCACCGCCGCCACCGCCACCACCACCGCCACCGCCAACGAAATCAACTGGTCGACCATCAAAAGCTCGTCAAAATAGTAGTAGTAATAGTAATAAACGATCACCAGCTAAATCAAAAGCAACAACACAAACATCTCGTCAAAAACAAACAACTACTAATGAAAGAAAAGGTCGTTCATCAACAACAAGATCTAAATCATCATCAGCTACTTCAACAACTGTACAAACACGATCAAGTAATCGTCGTAATACAAAAACATCGCGTTATCGTAAACGAAGCTTCTCAAGTGGTAGTGATGATGATGAAACTGAAGACGAAGATGATGATGATGGTGATGATGATGATACAGATTTTACTGAAGAGGTATTTTAATATTTTCATTTTCAAAAGATAATCTATGATGTGAGAGTCTTGGCACAAAATATTCAGTTTTCTTTTGATATAGTGTTTTATCCGAAAATTTAAAACGCCAAGAGAGCCAATCGGATATTTGGAGGGGTGCTGTCTTTTGGTCTTCACAATAGATAAAACACTATTTTGATTAATATCGTGTTCGGATTAAAATCTATCAAGTTCAACATGCGAAACAGTTTATAATATCTCAGTTTTGTAGAGCAATGTTTGCAATATAGAGCGTGCTATTTAGTTTTGCATGACAAATTTTTCAACTTATGCATTCTGAAAAGAAGTTTTTGACCCATCTGAACTTCTCTGGAAGCTAGCTCTTTAGTGCAACGTATAGTTAAGCTTTCGCTTATTGCAGTATCTCATTTTGTACAGAATTCAATGTTCTAGAGTAATCTTAAGTTCTAGACGTTCTAAGACATAAATTAAGAAATGCACCAAAACCACTATTTTGCTTTTATACAGAAACAATTTTGAACTTATTCACAAAATTTACTGATAGTTGTTCAATTTTACTCCAGAAGAAAAATGTAAGCATATAAGAATTCTAGCTCTAACTAGGTGTCTTTCAATGAGTCAATATTACATGTCAAGACTTTCGCTCTATAGGCTATAAACACGAGTTTTTTACTTAAAAGGATGATATACGTGATGAAGAAAGAGAAAATAGCCGTTCGCCTACGGTTAAAACAAAATCATCTAAAAATACAAATGAGAAAAAAACTGAATCTGAACCTATACCAAATACAACCGCACCAACATCAACAGTAACATCAGTTCCAATACAATCAAAAATTTCTGAACCATTATCATTACTTAGTGGACTTTCATCGAATCCTATGTCTGTTTCATCGATTATGAAATCAGATATTTCAACAAATTTTATGCGTCCCAATTTTAATCAAAATTTTCCAATACCACAACAATTTTTACCAACAAATCATCCATTTCCACCCAGTTTTCCTTTACAACCAATGCTTCCAATACCACCACCACTACCATCAGCTATTTCTCAATCACAACCTGCACCTATATCTGATACACATCGTTCATCTCATTCAACAAATGTTTCCGAAGCAGACTCACTTGATCATTCATCAAGTCCTTCACAAATGGATACGTCGACAAATGCTGACTCAGGAATGTCAACACGACCAACAACAAATCCATCAACCGGTACTCAAAAATTATCTGCTCTTTCTTCATTACTTGAATTTGGTATATTACCATCATCAAATCTTGGCGATATACATCCAACATGTCCTCCTACAAATCCCTATCCATTTCCATTTGTTACTCCTGGTCCAGGTGTTCCATTTTCACCTCAAGCAGCAGCTGGTATGACTACTTATTTTCGGCCATCATTTGGTGTTCCACCACCAACAACACCCGCCGATGTAACTCAACAATCATCACCATCATCAACAATAACAACAACAACATTACCTCAACCGGCACCAAAATCAAATTCAACTCAATCAAAAAAGAAATCTACTGCTAAAATAAATTCAACTGAAGTTATTTCACAAAATATACTTGATGAACCATCCTCACCTAAAAAGAAAGTTCGTAAAACTAATCCACGTGGTAAAGGGAAAGCAAAAAAGAATGAAACTGATGGTGAAAATGATGTTGATGAAGATAATTCATCGCCACTACCACCACCACCACCAACAACAACAAATAAAAAGAAAAGAAAATTGAAAAAAGATACGAAAACTAATACAACTACAAATGATAATGATGAAGCAAAATCTACGAATGGACCTACAAACAATACTTCGCATAATCTTCTCGCTCAAATGGGTCTCATTAATAATTCATTTATACAACCAACACCACCGCCACCGCCACCTCCAATACAATCGTCTTCCTCATCGAATGGTACAAATCCGACGCCGAATGCTCAACAACAAGCTCAAATAGCAGCTATGTACAATATGACACCACATTTTGCTCCTTATAATACATTTCCAGGTGCATTCAATCCAGCTTTTCCTGGTGCTTCTTATCCAAGTAGTTATCCACCACCGTATGGTTTTCATCCAGCATTTGGTACTCCACCAACAAGTCAACCATTTCCATTTATGCCATCAACACCAACATCAACTGCATCTTCAATTACTAGGTATGCTTCGTTTCTTTTTTATTTATCTTTCACATATTCTTTTGAATATTATTTTCTCTTATAGTACATCATTATCAGCTCCTACGACAACATCACCATCGATAGACGATAAACCAACACCTATTGTTGTACCTGAAACACGACCGACAAAATCAAGAAGTAAAAGTAATACTGGTGGAGAAAAGAAAAAACCTGCTACTCCTCGAGCAACGAAGAAAAAAGCAACAGTTACAACAGCACCAGCACCAACAACTGACAATGAAACTACAACACCATCAACAGTTTCATCAACTGAAACAACAACAAAGACTACTACAACATTAGAATCAATATCAACACCGCCAACAACTAAACGACGAATTAGTGGTACAGAAAGTGAAGATTTTGATGAACAAAATGATGAACAGCAACAACAACAACAACAACAACAACAGCAACAACCATCACAAACAACGAATGGTAAATCAGGTAATGAATCAGATGGTTCAATAGGTGCTGATCGTTCATCATTGAATACTACACAATCAACATCTGCAGCACCAGAAAAAAAAGGTGGACGTACGACAATAAAATCACAACAATTAGAAGTAAGTTTCTCTTCTACTGTCATATGCTTTTTCTTTTCACTATGTTCGTTTTTTTTTAAGATTTTAAATAAAGCATTTGAATCATGTGCTAAACCCAATAAAACTCAACGCGAACAATTAGCTACTGATACTGGTCTCAATTTACGTGTTATACAAGTAAATACCTTTTTTTTTAATTTTTAAAAGAATTAATTTCTCGTTTTAACAAAAGGTTTGGTTTCAAAATAAACGATCGAAAGAACGTAAAGGAAAAATATCAAAAGAAAAAGAAACACCTTTAGATGATGACGATGGAGGTGAAGATTCTCAACCATCATCACCACAAGCACCACCACAACCGCCACCGCCACCGCCGCCCCCATCACCACCACCACCACCGCCATCTGAATCTGAAATTGTATCTACACCTACAGAGGAATCTGCTCCTGAACCAACACTAGTCACTACTAGTGAAACGTAAAGTCAAAAATTTATCCTTCTATAAATCAGTGCCTTGTGACAAAAACAAGAATCAAAAGAAAATTTCTGTTTCACATTGTAAATTTAAACTCTCATTTGTGTGCAATCGTTTTTTTTTTCTATTGTGCCTCTCATTTCGTTTTGCTGATATTGAATATCGATCTGACATATTTCTTCTCTTCTAATCTTATTTAAATATAACTCATATTTATGTTGTTCGTATGTGTGAGTGTAACAGACTGATATTTGTATTTTAAATATTATAAGACATAGCAAAATCTGTTTTGTGTTTTAGTGTAGAAAAAAAAAGAAAAAATACAACCGTAATTCGAAAGGAAAAAAGTTTTTATTTAGTCATTTTTGATCTGATACCATATTCATCATTTTTTTTTTTTTTTTTTTTGCCTAAGTATGTATATTATTTTTTGTTGTTGTTTTAATGTCTTTAACATTTTAATTTGTCTTGTATTATCAAATATTGTCTTCTGTAAAAGAAAAGAACCTTTTTGTGTCTGTGTGTTTTGTCTGTTTTATTATATAACAATTTAATTAAGTTCTATATTAACTTGATTTTATTAATCAATGTTTTAGTTGTTCATTATCATGATCATGCGGATCAAGTAGTGGAACATCTTTGATAAATATACTTGCTCGTCGTTTTGAAGCACTAACATTGAATATAGCAAAACGAAAATATCGTTCCATTTCTTCGCGTATTGATATCTAAACAAAAACAAAAAAATTAACATTAGTTTTTGCTTTATAACTAAAGATATCTTATAAGTATTGAGAATCCCTTCCATAACTGCTTATGCAAAGTACTTTAATGTCTTAAATTTACATTTATATAGAATCTATGTATTCAACAAAATAAACTCAAAGATGAATGACTGTTCGAATTAATCGTGTACGTCTCGAAGCAATTTCAGAAGAGTCACTGATAAAACAATCATTGGAATAGATTATCCGTTTCTTCGATACACTTTCATTTGTGACGACAATTCGGTCACTCTAGTATATAGTTCGATGGTTTCAATTAGGTTTCCAAAATATCATGTGAAACCAAAATTGTTAAAACATCAGGTAGATTCAAAAATTTTAAATATATTTTGATAAACGTTCACTATTCGATTGTTGAGATAAAAGACCCCACGCCTGTCAGTACTCAAACAAAACAATATTGTACACAACGAGTGTTCCATCAAGAATGAAGCATTTTGATTGCTCTATTTTTTGAAGACAACATTCTAAGATACTTCGATAAAGAATTTTTCACTCTATAAAACTGTCAACTGTTTTCTTCATGAGTTTCTCCTATCGCAAAAGACATCGAAAAGATTAACAGTCACTTAACCACTGAACTGCGACTGTCAGTAAACGAAAAAATTTATCACAAATATGTTTAAATAATAGTTCCCCCAAAATATTCTGGAAGATACACCGTGAAATGTTACATCTTCTGACAACTCTGTGACATTGGAGACAATCTAAAGATTTTTATTGTTCGTTTTGAAAAATTCTACATTTTGATAGAGCGAAAAATTTTCTACCGAATAAGCTTAGAATGATGCCTTTGAACAGAGTCTTCATTCTTTAAAAACAGAAAATAGAATTGTTCCATTATTTATGGGTTATCTATTATATACCTAAATCATTAATCTCAAGAGCGAAAGAAGAACGATTTCTCGTAAAAGATTCAATAATGTTTGTATCTATCTGAAGACTTAACGATCCCAGTTTTGTGGAGCCGTCGAACTCTACTCTACTGACTATTGACGGAAGAACGACTTGACAAAAATTCAATCTGACGTAGTTTGACGAAAAAATATCGTATAAAGGTTGGAGGCATCTTATTTTGTAGAGAATGATTTACTCTATCATTTCATGTAGTGTAAAAAAGTTCAAATCTCAACCGGTCACTCCAGAATGGTCAAGAGGGGTGGGGTGGAAAGAAAGAGTTAGAAATAAGTTTTATGAAATTCTTCTTTTTACTTGTCGTCCTTTTCTATTTCGTATTTTAATACTAAATTCAACAGCAGCAACAATCATTGAAAGTACTAATCCAGCAGCAAGTATCACAAATATACCACCGACATTAGCAAAACCTAATTCGGAAGCCATATCTTTTCGTTTATCTTCCTTATCACATTTTAAATTAGCTGCTTCTTTCCACCATTTATTATAATATTTTTGTATAACACCTTCATCTTGTAATTTAAGAATTGTATCACTTAATATATCACGATAAGGTGAATCTTATTTAGAAAAAAGACAATCTAATATTGAAATATATTAATATATTCTATTTTTACTTTGTGGTACACCGAAGCCATAACCTTTTGAATCAAGTAAACCACCGATGGATGTTAGCTCACAATTTCTCATGATATTATATTCACTAGTAGTTGATCTATATTAATATGAAGAATAATGATTAATGTAAAATATAAAATATAAAATTCATTAACATACTCCATAAGAAAAGCATATTTGCCTTTTAATACTCTATTGATACCTTCAGTACTCGATGCAGCAGTTACACGTGCATAATTTGCGGATATATAATTCCACATTCGTTCATATGTTGCTATGTTTGATTCCTAATTAAACAGAAAAACAAGCAGAGGTCATTATAAATGTAATTAACTTTAGTAAAAAGAGAACATTAGTAGAATACTGTCTATTTATCAATCAATTATCTAATCTGGCTAGAATATAGATTATTATAGGATTACTAAAACTTGATGTTTAACGAAGAATTCTATGTTGGTAGAAACCATTAAGAAAAAGCTTTCAAATCTTGATAAGTACCATATCAACTAATTGAGCTAGTTTCGACCGCCCACCATTTTTCAAGCTGATGAGATCTAGACACTAGTTCTTTATATATGAGCTAGTATCGCATAATATTATATATTATCCTATTCAATAGATTTGTGACTGTTTCGTTCAGGACTATGTAATAAAACTGCATAAATGTGCTGTAATGAAGCTGTCAGAAACTTACTGCTCACAAGAAAAGTCCCTCAACTAATTAGTCACTTTGGGGTCAGGACAATATGCATTATGCAGATCCTAATCAGCTATGAATACCCTGAAAACAGTTTGCACCCTTAGTTTATTACTGCTGAGATGTTGCATTTTTTACGATATTTTTTAAGTCAATATCGTAATCCTTCTCAGGAACATTAGGCAAATTCGTTTTCGATTTTTGACTTGACGAGAATAATTCCTTGTGAAAATGTCAGGTTTTTTTATTTGCTTCTTGCCTGAAATAAGACCATCGAGTCTGCTTGTGTATATGAGTAATGTAAAAGACAAGCTGTTATCATAATTGTATCCTATGATAGGAAGAACGAAATTATCTGAACTTTCAAAATAAACTATTCTCATTAAGCTCTATCCCTATGGGAAGTTTCAAGTTGAAATTCGAAAACGAGTTTTTGTGAGAAGATAACGGCATTGACTTAAGGTTTACTGTAAAACTGCAATATTCGACAGCAATAAACTAAGTGTTGAAACTCTTCTCAAGATATTCATAGTTCATAAGGATCTACATGATGCGCATAGTCTTGACTCCAAATCGATTCATCACTTATGGGACTTTTCTTGTAAGCTAAACCAAATGCTCAATAATCGAGGTCATGTGAAAAGAACCGAATATTTGAACCGGTTCATATTGGAAAAGTTGCCGACCAGGCTTGCTGTATTCAGTTCTTATAATACATGAAGCTGAAATTTGTCACACACACCTACCACTAATTTTAAAAAATGTCAATTCTTATCGCTTTTCAGTAGAAGAGTTTTGCTCAAGTTTACAAGCAATTTATTTTTCAGCTGTTTGTGTATATTCATACTCGAAAAAAGTTTTCCGTTGAACCACCTCGTTGAAGTCCATAAGCAATATCTACTTGTGATGCAAGGTCATCAGCATTTTCAATTGGTGTTTGCATACGTTGTACAGTCAAAAAAGCAGCTAAAATACTGTTCAATAAATCCATTAATAAAATTATTGTTTTTTTTACTAACCCAAATTAGCCGTATACGATGAAACAAGAATTAATGTAAAAAATGACCATAAACAACTAATCATGCGTGTTGATGGTGCTGTTGGATTTAAATCAGTACCTATTTATTGATTAAATAAAGATAAATAAAATTTATTCTACAAAACAAAAAGACATGAACCTTGTTGCATAATATTTCCAATAAGAAACCAAAGTGAATTAAAAAACGTGAACTGATTTTCTAACTCGGCATGTGTTCTTTTACATGGATGTAAATCACGCCATTCATATGGTGATAATCTTGCAACCAAATAAAGAGCAAAACTAACAGCTTAATTTTAAAAATAAAAGATAGACATTCGAAAACACACGAAGTCAAATTTACACTAACTAAAATAAGCAGCAATCATATAAAGCCATACATCGATACTTAAGGGGTCAAAAAAGCCAAATAATTTTGGTTTAGCGCGTTGTTCTTTTTTATAAAGAATATTTATTCCAAGTGTTAAAAATGGTTTTGTAAAATCAATTGCCTTAAATATTTTAAAAAGCAAAAAATAAATATTCACATATACAGAGTAGTCCATTAGTAACTAGAAGATAAAAAAGAGTTCAATATTTTCAGACTGACTTTCTTTTCTTGATGATAGAACACTATTCAATAGTTTTATTCGCAAGAAAATATTGACGCCAATGAGAAAATATACTATTGGTCAAATGTATCTCAGTTATTCTTAGGACTTAAAATGTGAAATTCTTAGCGTTAATACTAACTTAGAAATGTAGACCAGTGAAACCAGTTTGGAAGCGAAAAAATTTACAACTTATCATGATGTAAAGTAGTCACAATAAAGGTAAATCATAACTTCTTTTCAAGTTCAAGCGAATGCTACTGGACTAGTCTCAATAACCTAAGTTTCTAACGAAGGAACATATCCAACTGTTGAATGTCACTTGACTTCGCCTAAAACCTACGAGTTGGTCTTCGTAAGAT